CACCTTTTCCTCTGCTCCACCACATTGATCATTTAGAACTCGCCTGGGGCCACCTTTGTGAAATGTGAGTAAGGGTGCCAGGTTACTCTCTGGAACCCTCATTAGGAACTGGCATTGTCTGGGATGCCAAGTAAATAAAATTCATACTCCCATTGTTATCAGGTTTTTATTTCACACAGTATATTCAACAGTTTTGATGTTTTCCCTGGCTGTGAGTAGAAAAATAATTGAGTCTGTTCAGGTGTTAGCAATATTTCCTGGAATCTTGTCAGAAAGGGATCTTGTTCCCATTGAAATATAAGGGTTTACTTTATTATTAGGCTACTTCTAGGTCATTTACATGGGGTTTTTCTCTGTGGAGCATTAATCTTTGATGTCATATTCTAATTACTACATCAAACGTATGATTATTTCCCTCCCTTTATCTTCCTCAAGTGTCTCATAGCACCACATTTAATACCATCAAAAATAATATTCAAAGGCCAACTGTGGTGGTGCACACCTGTAATCCCAGCTACTCAGGAGGCAGAGGTAGGAGGACTGTGGTCTTAGGCTAGCCTATGGAACAAAGTAGCAAGACTTCACTTGAGAAACAAACTTAAAAACAAAAGGATTCAGGACATGGCTCAAATGATACAGTGCTTGCCTAGCAAATGTGAGGCCTAGAGGTGAATTTCCAGGACCTTTAAAAAGAAGGGGGAGGGGAGATTCAGTTCTCTTTAGTTACATTCATATGTTCCGTTTTTGTGGTATGCAAGTGTAAACTTAAATGATGTGCCAGGTACCAGATTGTAGCTATAATCAGATGAGCTTGCAAACAAAAAAATTAAATCAACCTGCCAAACAATTCCAGCATGCCTGGTTTTAATATAATGCCATTTTGTTGGCATTATAGATTTGAAGAAAATATACTATAGATTTGAAGAAAATATACTGTATAACGACTGGACTAGAGTAGCCTTGAAGAGGTCATTATTTAAAATAATATTCTAAATAGGTCAAACATATTCCTATCAAACTTTCTCCTTGAATAGCTTTTTTTTAACACTGTGGTAAAATGTATTTAACACCAAATTTATTATCATAACCATCGTAAATGAATGCTTCAGTGACAGCAAGTATTTCTCTCTCTCTCTCTCTCTCTCTCTCTCTCTCTCTCTCTGTTTTGTGCCAGTACTAGGTCTCAAATTTAGGTCCTGGGTGCTGTCCCTGAGCTTTTTTGCTCAAGACTGGCACTCTACCACTTGAACCACAGCTCTACTTCTGGCTTTTTGCTGATCAATTGAATTAGTATCTGATTACAGGGGAGAGCCACCAGTGCCCTTTAGTGTTCTTTAAAAGTTTAGTTAAAAGCTATTTAACTGAAAATATGGCTACTGCTTCACACAGAAAGGAAACAGGAAGAAGGCTCGCAGGCATTCAAAGAAAAACCAGCAGTTACCGCAATGACTTCTGGGAAATCTTTGACCTTCCTGAGCTTAAGATTCTCACAAGGAATGAAAAAATTATCTCTGCTTGATAATTAACTGTGTGTGTGTGTGTGTGTGTGTGTGTGCGTGCGTGCGTGCGTGCGTGTGTGTGTGTGTGTGTGTGTGTGTGTGAAGCAGTAGCTTTGTCAGCTCTCCATGGTATGAAGCTGAGGTGTGGGAACCATCACCACCAAGTGGATTATAGACAATTATGAACTGTGACTTCCTGTAGCCATTTCCTTCTTTCCCTTAGGATAGTTGTATTGTTAGTATTTGGGGTTCAAAAATTTTAAATAGTCTTTTAAGGGCATTGAAGTCATATTAATTTGTGGAAAAGCATTGAATTATGAAGGAGTAACTTGGCTGATTTGAGCTGACTTGGTCTAGTTAATAATGATCTCTCAATAAGAATTTATACACAGCCATATTTTCAATGCTGGCAACCTTTGAAAAAGCTATGAAAAGCCAAATTACTTAATTACTGCCAAATGTACCTAGTCCTGTGAGTCCCAGATCTGGAGCAGATATGTCCTGTTGGCTTTGGCACTGAGCTGAGCTGAGCTGAACTCTGCTGTTATTTGATGGAAGAAACTAAATAGAGAGGAAGCTACTACTAGGAAAGCATTGTTACTTACCCAGGGACAACTGAATGCTTGTTCTGTATGTGAGGAAATTGCTGAGGAATGATTTTTACCTCGGAAAAACAATAGCTCTCCCTTAACACAAGTAATGCATGCTCAAGGTATCCATAATGCTGTCAGAAAATCAAATAAAATATGTTCTTCATGCTCTGTAGTTCTTTATAGTTTGGGTTTTCTCCCATGTGATTTGTCTTGGCTCAGATACTAGACAGCTCAAGAATCTAAAAAGAACAAAGCAAGAAATGGTACTACACTTCTTTTATGTTCTGCCTTATTACATAAAATATACTCTATCTTTGTAAGAGTATACTCTCTCTCCTTTTCTATCCCATTCCATAAAGAATTTATAGCAGTTTGGCATTCTTGTTTGTGTTTTGTTTGTTGGATCGTTTGTTTTTGTGGTGCTGGGGATTGAACTCAGTGCCCTCACACGTGCTAGACAAGTGCTCTACCACCAGTTTGGAATTATAGTTCCATCTATTTGTGTTAGTAATCCTGACGCTCTAAGAAGTAATTTCCTCAAAGTCCCCCAACTGTGACTAGGTTTCTCCCATCCAATAATACAATAGACTGGCTCCTACATGTAATGAGAAGCCATAGAGGACTAGACACATAATCAGATTTGTGTTAACCCCGGGATAACTTTGCTGGATAAACAATGGCTTGGAAGCTGGGTGGGTTTGGTGGTACACATGGCTACTTGGGAGGCAAAAGCAGGAAGACTGTGATTTTGAAGAAGTTAGATCAAATAGTATATTCTTTCATTAATTGTGGGAAGAAATCATGGTGGCTGCAAACAGAATAGAATGAGAAGTGCAGAGATTTAAGATACCTTTCAAAGGTAGAGCTAGCAAGACTTAGTATTGGTTGGGAAGTACAGGGAAGGGATGAGGTTTCAAAAGGGATTCTTAGTTCCTGGTAGAACAACAGGGCAACCCTTGTTGGCTTGAGGTGAGAAGCATTGGCTGTGGAAACATCTGGGAACTGAGTGGAATGCGAAACTCTTAATTTTACTTGTGATGCTTAGAAGATCTCTAATACAGAGAGACAAAGTAGGAGTAGGATATGCAGACATTAAGCTCAGAAAAAAAGATCTGTATTAAGTGGGATCTGAGGATCGCGGTTCAAAGCCAGCCTGGGCAGGACAGTCCATGAGACTCTTATCCTCAGTTAACTTCCAGAAAACCAGAAGTGGTACTTTGGCTCAAGTGGTAGAGTGCTTGCCTTGAGCTGCAGAGCACAGGGATAGTGCCCAGGCCCAGAGTTCAAGTCCTACGACTGACAAAAAAAAAGTATGAATGTAGAAGCCATTAGCATATAGATAGTCTTTGACCTTAAGGGGTTAACTCACTTATTTGAGGGTACTGAACTCAATACTGGTGGAGGAGAAGAGGTGAGTGTATATACATTGATTTAAGACAGTCCTTAAGACTCTTATCTACAATGAACTACTAAAAAAAGCCAGAAGTGACGCTGTGGCTCAAATGGTAGAGTACTATCCTTGAGCATAAAAGCTCAGGGACAGCACCCAGGCTCTAAGTTCAAGCCCCAGGACCACTTTTGGAGAGAGATCTGTAGTGTTAGATTTTCTTTTTAAGTTTTTTTCCTAGTGCTGAGGATGGAACTTGCTAGGTAAGCACTCTACCACTGAGCTATACCCCCAGCCTTTAGATCCTCAAATATCAGCATAAAGCATTGTTATGAGCTTTCTGGGATTCTTTGCGAATGACAAGGCCAAACTTCCCCATACATCTTGAGATCATTAGATTGCTCCTGCATGATGACTGTTTAGGGCAGAACAGTCATCATCTCCCACTGAACCACAGCCAGCCCTTAGCTAATAATGTGGTGCAAAGAGGCCCAGCTCATCAGAACTGCAGAGTTGTTTTCTGTTGTCTCTCTGGCAGTGAGATGGCAGTTCCATTAGGCGAAGTGAACCCCAAGATAAGGACTCAAATGGTTTTTCTTTCTTGCGATTGTTTCTAACATATTTATCAGGTGATGGTTTTGTTGCTTTATGTCCCTCCCCCATGGTATAACCCCTGTTTTTACTGTATTTGATGTTGGTATGATTTGGAGAGGGAAAGGGAAAAAACAAATTGTTTAAATTGAGATACAGGTGGACCCATTGCAACAATGAGATGTACAAGATGTTCGAAAAACAAACTCTACAACTTTGGTAGGGGGAAGGAGAGGAAACGGGAAGCGGGGGAGGCAGGAGGTAAGATAGTAAGAGATGGTAAAGGGAAACAAAGGAGGAGGCAACAATGCTTGATAAGTAATGTACTCATTACCTTGCTCATGTAATTGTAACCCCTATGTATGGTATTTTCACAATTAAAAAAAAAAGATGATGAGTGGAATTTGCCTAACCCACAAGGCATTGTCTGTCTGGAGCTCTGAACCCTCCATCCATCATTCCTCCTCACAATTTACCACACAGGGCCTCTTGTACGTATCCTCCCTTCTCTCGTTTGGCAGAACAGTGAGATGCCAAGTAAGGAGGTTGGGAAGTTTTCCAGTTCAAAGAATGAAACACTCTCAACATTAATGGGGGCCTAGAGGTTAAGCACGCCCATTTGAGCAGTGTATAGTCCACAGTACTAAAAGAGTTGACACTTTTCCAGAATTATCTTCTGCAGGGCCTGACTTTATAATCTGGATTTGGCTAACCCTTAGCATCATCATTCTCTGTCATTAATAATTGGATCCGAGTATCCCTTGAGTAATGCATCGCTTTTGGTGTCTAATAGCTTTGTATGCTTGGAAGCTGTGTGTATACATATTTAATTCTGTGGTGCTATGTGTGCATCTTCAACTAGGAGCCAAGGAAGTGTTTGTATCTTGAGCCAGAAAGTTATCATTGACAATGTGCTTTGCTATTTCACAGAAATGAAGATGCTGTCCATCAGATGGCTGTTGCGCCCTTCCCGTTGGCTTCCAGCTCCCCATCCTCTACTGAGGTAAGCTTGCCTCCAGCTCTTGGTGCACTAGATAGATGTGTCATGCGCATTTCCCCCAAAGCTGACGTTTTCAACATTTAGAATCTAGTATTTCCAACACAGTATTTGTTAGCTGTCTAAAACAGAGAGTATTTGAGGCATGACTATGAAACAACGTAAAATAATTATTTAAAGATGCACGTAAGAACTTAACTATGTATTGTTCAAAATTGCAGTTTTTCAAGATGTATAATTTTGTCCCAATGGAGCATTTTAGAATTTATTAGAAAATTCTTTTAAGTATGACTGAATAATACACAGTTCCTTATCCTTTCAAAATAATTTAATAATAGTTGGTCATGATAGTGCATGCTGATAGTTCCAGCATGGAATTATCACGGGAGGCTAAGCTGGGTGGACCACAAGTTCCTGGGCTATGTAGTAAATTCTAGGCTAACCTTAGCTATATCATTAAGACTGTGTCCCAAAACAGATTTCATACACATTCCAAAGTAAAAACTTGAAGACTTGTGATTCCAAATAATTACCTTAATTCTAAATAATCGCTGTCTTAATTGCAGTCTGCTTCTAGATTTGTAGATGATAGATATACATCTCACTATTGCTCTAAAGGTTGACTATCCCTGGTCTGAAATGCTTAGGTCTAATACTTTGGTTTTTTTTTCTGGTATTTTGTTGTTGTTGGGTTTTTTATTGTTGTTTGTTTGTTTGTTTGTTTTGGTCTGTATATGTTTGGTGCCAGTACTGGAGCTTGATGTGAGGGCCTGAGCAATAGCCCTTAGCTTTTTCACTCAATGCTGGTCCTCTACCACTTGAGCCACAGTTCCACTTCTGGGTTTTGGTGGTAGATAAGAGCCTCACAAACTTTCCTACGTGGGCTAGCTTGGAACCATGATTATCAGGTCCCAACCTCCTGAGTAGCTAGGATTACAGGTGTGACCCTTTGGCACCCTTTGGGTATGTTTGGTTCTGAGAGGACCATTTCTGGGATTTCTGCCTGGGGTTTTTGGCTTCCTTCCATCAGGACTGGCTGCTTGTCATCTCTGTGTCTTCTTTAGCATGTACCTGGCCCGCTAGGCCCGCTGCCCTCCTTGTGGGGGAGGGCCACGCGTGTAGCGTGACCAGGCACCGTGCCCTCTCTGTCACACAGATACTTTCAATATGTATGTTTGTGTCCTTCTCACATGAAAGGAGAAGGTGATCATTATTATAAAGAGACTGAGGCTTAAGAGGCTAAGTAATGTTCCTGCGTGCCATATACAGTTGTGCAATTCAGTATCAGCTTCCTGCGTTTACCTGGATGTGTGATCACTAAGCCCTCGTGGACTTGTTGTAGAGAGCAAGGAAGTCATGTACATGGAGTACTTATTCTGTCCTCTATACAAGCAAGCATTCAGCTAGCTAAAACTTCTTGTTTTATGGCTGTTTATTATTATTATTATTTTAAGTAGTTGCATAAGTCAGATTATGCATACAATGCATCTTGGTCAATGTCACTCCTTCCATTGTCTCCCCCCTCATTCACAAACTCTTTGTTTTATTTATTCAGGTACTGAAGTCTATTTAACTCAGTCTTTATATTATATATTACCTATTGCTTTCATTTTTTAAATTGTAGTCACAGAAATGGTGACATTCAGCTATCTGTAAAAAATAAATTTTACTTGTGCCTCAAGCTAACAGAATTTGTCAGAAAAACAACTTAGTGTCATTCCAAATATCCATTGCGTTCTGAAATATTAGAAGATTGATTTTATTGTTAAATAAAGCAGGAATGGTAATAGAGAGTATAAATAATACCACTCTTGGGTTGTTCTTATTACAACAGCTAGATGAAACAGCAATGTGTTGTCCTTTGCATTTTGTCTTAAAAAATAATTAAGTTGCAAGTAGCACCCTGGTGGCTCTTGCTTGTAATCCTACCTACTCAGAGGGCTGAGATCTGAGGATCACAGTTCAAAGCCAGCCAGGGGAAGATAAATCTGATAGACTCTTTTCTCCAGTTAGGAGAAGGAGGAGGAGGAGGAGGAGGAAAGGAAGGAAGGAAGGAAGAAAGGAGGAGGAGGAAGGAGAAGAAGAAAGAGGAGGAGGAGGAGGAAGGAGAAGGAGAAAGAAAAGAAAAAGAAGAAATAATTAGTAGTAGAGGTGTGGCTCAAGTGATAGAACAAACACTCTTTGAGCAGAAAAAGCCAAGCAAGACACAAGGCCCTAAATTCAATCCCCAGTCCAACCCCCACACACATACACACACACACACACACACTAATGACATCCCCATTGGTCACTTATCTCTAAAAGGCAATGCTATTTCCTTGACTATGACTGTAGCACTGGCCATTAAATAGGAGGTGATCAGTACCCTATGAACAGTGTAGGAAGTGCCTGGGTATGCTCTGGTCTCCAACTGCTGCCCAGTCCCCTCCCAGCTGTGTGGTCTTCTCTGCCTTCCTCCTCCCTTATATTTATAGAATCACAACCACTGGGAACTCTCCCAGTGTGCCAGGAATAATGCTAAGCATTCTACAAACTTGATCTCCAGCCAATCACAAAATTATTTATTTTGAATGTTTAAGCATCACTCTTATCTGACCCAAGACTGAAAGAGTGCATTTAAATCATAACCAAATATAGCCCTGTCACTATTAAGTTGGATGATATAATAATAATTCAACATAGTCAGTTGATACTTTTATTATATACTAATGATACTTCATCACATTGATTCTACTCAGCAAATATTTATCAAGTTCTTTTCATCCTTTTTATTTTTCCAGTCCTGGGGTTTGAATTCAGGGCCTGAGCTCTGTCCCTGAGCTCTTTTGCTCAACGTTAGCACTCTACCACATTGAGCCAAGCACCACTTCTGGTTTTCTGAGGGTTTAATTGGAGATAAGAGTCTTGTGGACTTTCCTTCCCAGACTGACTTTTGAACCACAATCCTCAGCTCTCAGCCTCCTCAGTAGCTAGGATGACAGGTATGAACCACCGGCATCTGGCTTCTTTTCCCTTTTTTTAAAAACTTTTTTTTTTTTAATGAGCATGCACCCAAAGGATAACATATTGAGCTCTTATTAGGTGTGTGTCAGACACTGTTTCAGTCATGAAGGGGATAACAGAATAAGATTGCTTCATGCAATTGTGTTGTAGAGTGAAAAACAAACTGCTAACAGAATATCGACCAAGAAGTCAGATGATATACTTCTCAGACGGGCTCTGCCAATTAATTGCCTGTTGGGCACATGACCTTGAAAAAGGACAGATAGCTTCCCAAACGCTTGTCTTTTTTTTTCTGTAAAGCCAGGTTATTAGCCTCTCCTGCATGTGTCAAAAGGAGTTGGGAAATGAAGTAGTAAGTGGGGGTAAACTATTTTATAGTGTATGCAGCTGTATTTATTCATAATGGTTATTTGCATTTCTACCGCAGTCCTCTTGTGACAGAATACCATTAGGGAAGTTGCAGGACACAGTGAGAAAGAGCAGAAGCTCAGATCCCAGCCTCATCTTTATAGCCCCTCATTTTCTAGCTGAGTGAACTTGAGCCAGTGAAGCTCAGCATGTTGTTTCTCCATATTTAAGGTGGATTTGATAATAAAAACTGTGGATTGGCTGGAGAATTAAATAATGTTTGTAGAATGCACAGCACTGTTCCCAACACTCAGGAAAAGCTTATAGTGGTTGTGATTATGTGAACATTATGTGAGTGCAGCAGAATTCTTAGCTTCCAGTGTCCCCCCATTTTTACTGTTCCATACATAACAAAATTTGTTCCTTTTGTTTTATTTTTTATTTTTGTTGTCAGTCATGGGGCTTGAACTCTGGACCTGGGTGCTGTCCCTCAGCTCTCCAGCTCAGGGCAAGCACTCTACTACTCGAGCCACAGCGCCACTTCCAGGTTCCTGGTAGTTAATTGGAGATAAGAATCTCATGCACTTTCCTGTCCAGGCTGGCTTTGAACCACGATCCTCAGATCTCAGCCTCCTCAGTAGCTAGGACTATTGGCCTGAGCCACCAGCACCTAGCTGTTCCTTTTATGTTTGTTTTTATTATCTTGAAATAGTGGTACCAAGAGGTTTCAGCTTCACATGCCTCCCATCATCTCCTCCTTTCCAGGGTTTCTTCCTTTTAAGTATTAGCTCATAATTTGTGCTCTACCATTTGAGTCATGCCTCCAGCATGGCTTTTGTTATTTATTCTGAGCAGGAATTTTTTTCAGATTTTTCATCCCTGGCTGTCCTTGAACCTTAGACCTCCAGATCTCAGCCCTCTGAGTATATAAGATTATAGTTGTGAGCCACTAGTCCTTCTGGCCCATTTTTTAAAGTCAGGTTACTTGTTTTCTTGCTATTGTTCAATTTTCTCTTGTTTTTTAAAGTATCAATCCCTTATCAGATGGATAGTTTGCAAATCTCATTCTCTGGGTCATCAGGATCCCTTTCTTTGTTGAACTTGCTCAAAAATCCTTAGTACTGCCTAGAACTCATGTCTGTAACCCTATAATCTCAGGAAACTGAGGCCTGAAGATCACAGTTCAAAGCCAGTCCAGGTAGCAAAGTCTGAGACTCTTATCTCCAAGTAATCAGCAAAAATACAGAAGTAGAGCTATGACTGAAGCCTTGAGTGAAAAAGCTGAAGGGTTAGTACCCAGGCCATAAGTTGCCTGGTATGGCACGTGTGCACACACGCACACGCACGCACACAAAACCAAAGAAGTCTTTAACACCTTCCTTTTGCCTATCAATATTGTATCTTCATTACAAGGTTTTCTTTCTTCACAATACATAAGGAAAGCACCAAGTAATCCATGTGTCTCTTGATCACACAAGTGTGCCCACATATGCACGTGCGCATATACATACATTTTGTCTTTGCTCCTATTGCCTTTTCTGTATAGGTGGCCCTCTTGCCTGTCCCTCAGTCATCCATACCCACCAGTTCTTTGAAGAAGTAACTTCTGGAAGGCTTTTATGTTCAGCTTGTTCTTCCTGAATTGCATAGCAAGTTCAAGTCCAGCCTGGATTACGTAATGATGTCTGTCTTAAAAACAGAAAAATTAAGTATACATTTAGACAGAACATGGTAATAACACAATCGAAGATACAGAAGAAAAAAACAACAGTGTGATATAGGGGAGGAGAATAAGAGGAAGAGAAAGGAAATAACAGAATATAAACTGAGGTCAAATGAGACCCTCGAGTTTGACTCTCGAAGGATTTGAATTTCATGCTTTAGGCACTTGATGCTGTTGAAGGCAGTTTGAACAGTGGGATGATCTGATCAAGGCTCCACTTGAGGTAGATGAGTGGAATGGCAACGTTAAAGATGTCTCAAGGAGGGAGACCAGGTAGGAAGCTGCCGCTGTGGCCCACCAGAGTCCGGGTAGAAGATGGTCATTTCTTTTCTCCAGAAGAAAGCAGCTAAGTCCTTGAGACTCTCTTCAGATAAGCATGAGCCTTTATTGATCCCTCTTCTCGGTCATCCTGTTTTCTTGCACAGGGAGTGATTTGTAGCAGAAGGCTTTAACTGAGGAACAGAAGCTGTCTGGGGAAAGGGCTTGCCGCAGAATTTCTCTTGTGTCCGTTCCCCTTTCTCTGCCTTTCTGGAATTCGGAGTAAACTAATAAAGATGCTTATAGTTTCAGGTAGAAGAGAGAAATTCAGTTTGTCACGTCGAGTAACATGGCCTTATAGAAATATTTGTGAGAGTAATCAATCATGGTATGTTGTTTTTAAACCATGAATTAGATTTGGGAACTATGAGAATAGCATGCTTTGAGTCAACAGTATGTTTATTTTAAACTTACCAAAGTATGTGGGTGGGTGGGTGGGTGGGTGGGTAGGGAGAGGAGTGTGAGTCCTAGGGCTTGAATTCAGGACCTGGGCACTGTCCCTAGGCTTTTTAGCACAAGGCTAGTGCTCTACCACTTGAACCACAGCTCCACTTTTAGCTTCCATGGTCTTGCAGGACCTGTGACAGGTGGTTTGAGGATCAGCAGGACTAGAAGGGAACATCAGCCATCTGGATTACACATACTGTATCATCCTGGGTATCAGTGCCACCGTCCATCAGCAGATGGTCTTCAGCCGCTGGGAGATGCTGGAGCCCTGGATGTCATGCTGCTGAATCTGTTTCCCATCCTGTCCCTGGCTATGTGCTGTGTCCTAAGTCTTGGCTTGTGGAGAGTTTTGAAGGCTCCTTGCAGCGTGAGCCATTCTGTTCTCAGAACAGAATCCAAGGTGTTGTTCTAGATCTCGTTTTAGCACAAACACCCCCTCAGCAACCTCAGCTCTCCCAGAGAGTAAAGGGCTCATCGCTAAGCTTCCTTTCTGCCTGGGTCTCCTCCATCTGTCCTTGGACTCACACCTTTTTCTCAGTGGAGTCCTATCGGGCTAAATACACAAGAGACAACCTGGGAGGATTTGGAACATTGTGCAGGTAGAAAGAGCAGGAACTTTGAAGCAAGAAAGACTGAGGAGAAATGTAAAAATGAATATAAATGGGGGTCAGGTGACAGGAATGGATGAGGCATGTTAAGTTCAGTTGTCTCTTCCTGAGAGATATCAGCTCTGTACACACATAATTAGGATGCAAAAAGATGATAAGAAAGTGGCTGAAGAAGTTCAGATAAAATGTTATGTGACTTTAGGGGGAAGAGGGCATGAGTCTGTGTAACAAATGAAAGGGGAGGCAGATGGACAGACATACAGACAGACACACACACACACACACACACACACACAAGTGTCATCTGCTATTACCTGGGGTAAAGGTGGAGGCCATTTACAGGGTTACTCCCTCTGCAATCTAACTTGGTGTTTGGGTCCGACAGTCTCGCCATGGCCCACAGAATCAAACACAGGAAGCAACTTGGACATATAAAGTTTTCCAAAGCAGGATGGTGGTGGTGGCTCACACTTTCAAGCTACTCAGGAGGCCGAGATCTGAGGATTGTGATTCAGAGCCAACCTAGGCAGGAAAATCTGTGAGACTCTTTAATCAAGCACCCAAAAAAGTATAGCTGTGGCTCAAGTGGTGGAATGCTAGCTTGGGCGCTATCCCTCAGCTCTTCAGCACAAGGCAAGTGCTCTACCACTTGAGCCACAGTACCACTTCTGGTTTTCTAGTGGTTTATTGGAGATAAGAGTCTCACTGACTTTCCTGCCTGGACTGGCTTTGAACGGTGATCCTCAGATCTCAGCCTCCTGAGTACCTAGGATTACAGGCATGAGCCACTCCTTCTTTTCTTTTCTTTCTTTCTTTCTTTCTTTCTTTCTTTCTTTCTTTCTTTCTTTCTTTCTTTCTTTCTTTCTCTCTTTCTTTCTTTCTTTCTTCTCAGTTATAGGCCTTGAACTAAGAGCCTAGGAGCTGTCCCTGAGCATTTTCTCTCAAGGCTAGCACTCTACCACTTTGAGCCACAGTGCCACTTCCAGGTTTCTGGTGGTTCATTTGAGATAAGAGTCTCAGACTTTCCTGCCCAGGCTGGCTTTGAACCAGATCCTTAGATCTCAGCCTCCTGAGTAGCTAGGATTTTAGGCATGAGCCACCAATGCCCAGCTCAGAAGTCTATGAGAACTGAGATCCTGTATCAAAAACAAAGAAATCTGAGTAGTCATATGTGTCATAGTAATGCTTCAGTCAATTGGACCACCTACACTATATGATCCCACATAATAATAACGGAAGAGAAAATTCCTGTTATCTACTGACATAGCCATCATGACATTGTAGCACAACCCACTACAAGTTTGTGGTGATATTGGTGTAAACAAACTTCCTGTGTTGCCAGTTGGAATCCTAGCTCTTGGGAGGTGAAGGAAGGAGGATTTTGAGTGTGAGGAGGCCAGCCTGAGCTATGCTATGAGCCTGTCTTAAAAAAAAAAAAAATGCTGGGCACTGGTGGCTCAGGCTTGTAATTCTAGCTACTCAGAAGGCCGAGATCTGAGGATCACGGTTCAAAGCCAGCTGAGTCAGAAAGACTGTGAGACTCTTATCTCCAACTAATACCAGAATAAGTTGGAAGTGGAGCTGTGGCTCAAATGGTAGAGTATCAGCTTTTAGCAAAAAAAGAGCTCAAGGGCAGCTCCAAGGGCCACCCAGAGTTCAAGCCCCACCCAGAACCAGCAAAAAGAAAAAAAGAAGTAAGCCAGATGATAGTGGCTCTTGTACTCTGCAGGCAATATGTTCTGCAGGCAGGTATCAAACTCTCAGACAATCATCTCACCTCAGCCTCTCAAGAGCTAGAACGAAAGGCATGTACTACCATGTGCAGCTTATTCTTAGATTTAGAAAGCACTCTCCCCCAAATCATGTGACTCTATGGCAAAGTTCACTTCTGAGCCAAAATCTGACTCATTCTAAAGTCCATGCTACTTATTTTATTTTATTATTTTTTATTGTGAAAATACCATACAGAGGGGTTACAATTACATGGGCAAGATCATGAGTACATTTCTTAACAAGCATTGTTGCCTCCTCCTTTGTTTCCCCTTCCTATCCCTTCCCCGCCCCCCACTCCTTAACTTACTTTTTTTTTTATTGTAAAGATGCTATACAGAGGGTTACAGTTACATGAGTGATGTAATGAGTACACTTCCTATTGAGCATTGTTACTCCCTCCATTGTTTTCCCCCTACCATTCCTTCCCTCCCTACCTTCCCCAAGGTTCTTTTTTTTTTTTGATTGTGATTAAGTGATTACATAATTTCCCAAATTTCACAGTATTATGGAATAATGATGCTCATTTAAAGTCACAAGTTCATTCTAACTTTCCTGGAGCAAATTGTCTATCACAGTCTATAACATATAACGGTGTTCACATGTTATACACCATACCCATGCTACTTTTTTTAAAAAAGAAAGTTCTGGTTAATTAACCAGAACCATTAGTATGTCCTAATTAAATTGAAGATATGCATAATGAGTTTTAGAATTTTAATAGGCGTCATTATTACAACATAACTCATTTATATTAATTACGTATTTTTAGTATTTGTTAGGAAAAATATATCAAGAAAATAAATACTCCATGCATCAGTTCAGCCACTTGTTTGGTAAATCGTTTTCCTATGCCACATATAGCTCTAGGAGTTTGATTTAAAAAAAAAATAAGATATGCACTGTCTCAATTCTAGTCTTATATATAAAATTCACTAAATGGAATTTATAAAATTCTCACTGAGAAAACCTGGAGCACAGAGTTGGGGCCAGCCCTGGAAGGCATAGCTCTAAGAAGCAGCAGAGGGCATCTATAAATATAAGCCAAAAGTCGAGTGCCAGTGGCCACATCTATAATCGTAGTTACTCAGGAGGCTGAGATCTGAGAATCAAGTCTTGAAGCCAGCCCAGACAAGACAGTGTGAGATTCCTATCTCCAATTAACCACCAAAAAGCCAGCAGTAGAAGTGTAGCTCAAGTGGTAGAGTTGCCAGCCTCGAGAAGAATAGCTAAAAGACAGTGCCCAGGTCCTGAGTTCAACCCCCAGTACTTGTGTACATACATACACAAAGTAAACAAACAAGAGCAACCATGATCATAGGGCCTTGTGCTAGAAAGGAATGGCCTCTGTGGAAGCTGGGTCCACTATAACATGAACGTATGCTGTGTTGCATATGTGTGCACAATTTGGGGTGGAGTGGGTAGAAAATGACATCTGTGCTGTTTTCTTTCACATCCCACAGGAGCAGAGTGGCCCTGAGCCTGTCAGTAGTGAGGAAGATGGCGGTCTAGAAGTTGGTATCAAACCCCTGCCTAGAAGTGAGAGCTCCCCACTGGTAAGAACTCTGCCTGTCTTTCGTCTAGACTCTTGGCTCTTTGAGTTGTGTTGTTTAGATTTTGTCTGACCTTAGGAAGATCACCTGTCGCTGGCTTTGCTTCCTTGAGCATCTGGATCTCTGAGCCAGGAGAAGTTTTCCATGTAGCAAAATATCTAGGTGGAATCCTGAGCATTTTACCCACAGACTTAAGCTGTGTGTGAGGCAATCACATGTGGCCCTATTTCCACCATTCAGTTGGGGATGATTTTGGTCAATACCCCCACCCCCCATCCATAGTCAAGGGACTCCTCTCAGAAATACTGTTATGGAGAAAATAACTTGTTTGTGACTCATGTGATGGTTTGTGAAAATGAACTGCGATTGTGAGAGAGTGGAGGCAGGGAGGCATCTGGAATCTATTTCAGAAATCTAGGTGAGAGCCTGTGTGGACTATTTTTAAGCCCATTATAAGACCTTATAAAAAAATATTTGCACAGAGCTCTTCAATCTGCAAAACAAAACTTCATGTGACATCATGATCACATGATCATGATATCACATTAATATCATTAATATCACAGTTATTTTTTAAATGGTGTTTAGTTGGTTCATGATCTTATTCAATCTTATCACTGAAATAATTCTATATAGACTATAGGGCAGAAATTATTTTCCCCAATATTATATGAGACCTTATTTTGCTCCATGGAACATCATACATCTTGAACCTGGAGAGGTAGGACTGACTTCTTAAAGCTTGCTGATACAGAAGCTCATGAGTCCCTCAAATAATTATTTTAATTTTTGGAGCATGTACTTAATATTTGTATAATGCTCAGAATACCTATGTTTATATAGCATACTCTTTTTTTTTTTTTCGGTCGGTCATGGGGCTTGAACTCTGGGCCTGGGCACTGTCCCTCAGCTCTTCAGCTCAAGGCAGTGCTCTACCGCTTGAGCCACAGCGCCACTTCCGGTTTCTAGTGGTGTATTGGAGATAAGAGTCTCACGGACTTTCCTTCCCCGGATGGCTTTGAACCAGGATCTTCAGATCTCAGCCTCCTGAGTAGCTAGGATTACAGGCGTCAGCCACCGGCGCCCAGCTTTTTTTTCTTTATAATGTGCATTGGAACTCAAAGCCTTATACTTCCTCTTGACTTTTTCATTCCAGCTGGCACTGTACTACTTGAACCACAGCTCCACTTCCAGACTTTTAATGGTTAATTGAAGATAATAGTCTCACAGACTTTTATTCCTGGGCTGGCTTTGAACTGCAATCCTCAGATCTCAGCCTCCTGAGTAGCTCTCAGACGTGAGCCACCAGTGCCCAATATAATATACTCTTTTGAGTCAACAGAACTAAATTACTCTCCATGCAAGCACTAGAACCAGGCTACTTGGAGTCAAATCCCAGTTCTAAGCATATAGGAAATGACCTCTCTGTGCCTTAGTCTCTGCCTGTGTAAAATGGATGGGGGAGAGGGAGCTAGGGGACACCAAAAGGCTTTAAGAATTATCGAAGTTGGGCTGGGAAGTTGGCTCAGTGGTAGAGCGCTTGCCTTGCATGCCTGAGGCCCTGGGTTCAATTCCTCAGCACCACATAAGCAAAAAGAAAAAAGCCGGAAGTGGCGCTGTGGCTCAAGTGGTAGCGCACTAGCCTTGAGCTGAAGAGCTGAGGGACAGTGCCCAGGCCCAGAGTTCAGGCCCCACGACCAGACCCAAAAAAAAAAAAAAAGAATTATCGAAGTTGATAACTACTAAGTACTATCGGAACATGCCAGAAGATACTTCAATCACTGTTTAAAACTGAGATTTTTTTAACATTTATTTTATGTAAAAGTGCTGCACAAAGAGGTTACAGTGACACTAGTAAGGTAATGAGTACATTTTTTGTCAAGCATTGTTAACCCTTCCTTTGTAGTTCTCCCAGTTCTCCCACTACCCCATCCTTCCCCCACCTCCCTCACTCCTCATCCCCGCCCCCAAAGTTGTAAAGTTCATGTCCATCATAGTGTCTTGTGAGTATCATTGTTGCAATGGGTCATCCTCTGTCCTTGTTAACCTGTGTGATGGTGGCTCACACCTAGCCACTCAGGAGGCTGAGATCTCAGGGTCGTGGTTTAAAGCCATCTTGGACAGGAAAATTCATGAGACTCTTATCTTCAATAAACTACTCAGAAAAAGCTGCAAGTGGCACTGTGGCTCAAGTGGTAGAATGCAAGCCTTTAGCTTAGGCTCAGGAACAGAACTCAGGCCCTGAGTTCAAGCCCTAGGACACACAAAAAAAGGGGGGGCAGAGGAAAGGAGGATGTTTTGTAGTTATGTGAGTGTAATTCTGATGAAAGCATTATAGGTTAGCTGCAAGAGGAATAGCTCTACTGAATGAGCCATTAAGATATAACTTGGAAAACTGATTTTTTTTCCAGTACTGGGGATTAAAGTCAGACTCTCCCTTAACTTTTTACTTAAGTCAGGCACTCTACCACATGAGTTACATCTCTACTTTGAGCTTTTTGCTGCTTAATTTGATCTAAGAGTCTCAATTTTTAACCCCTCAATGGAAGTGCCAATATATTATTTGTTGGGGGAATTGGCTCAAGTGATTCTGGAAGCTGAAAAGTTCCACAGTGTGCCATTTGCACGGGTAAGTGTTAAGTTAGAGGCCTCAGAATGGGTGGGGAAGGAAGATAAGACCTTCAGTCCAAAGTCTGGAGAGCTTGGAGTTCTTGTGTCCAATGGCTGAAGATGGTGACCCTGCTCAAGAAGAGAGAAAGACATCGCCTTTCTTCTGCCCTTCTTTCTGTGGAGGCCCACAGGCAATTGGATGATACCGCCTGCAGAGGCAAATCCTGTATCTTCCTTACTGCGCTGATTCCGATGTGTCATTTCTGCGAACGTTTTTCCCAGACAGACCCAGAGAGAGTGTTTTTGAAACTCTCCGGGTTTTCCTTAAAGGAGTCAAGTGGCCACTTAAAATTAATATTTAGATCAAATAATAACAGGTAACATTGGCTGGATGTGTGGCAGGCATTATTCTGAGCTCCCCTGTGAAGGAGCAGGATCGTCCCCATGTAACAGAAAGGAAACCGAGGTCCAGAGCTGTTCAGTGAGTTGCCTAAAATAAGCAGTGAAGCCAGGCTCTGGGCTGGAAGTGGCTCTGTAACCATCAGCAGGCCCCAGCCCGGAGGCAAAACTGAGGTCTGGGAGCAACAAGAAGCTCACCCTGGGATCTGACTTGGCAAATGTTCTTTTTGTTTAAGTCTTGAGTTCTAAAATGCAGAAAAATATGGCCTATAAATAATTAACAGTAAATTTATCTATTTACCTTTTACATTCGTATTTAAATATAGACGTTCAAAGAAACGTTTCATGACATGAAGGAAACTGGAATGTGTCAAGGAGCTAGCCTACTGCAGTCATTTTTGTTCTGTGTATCTTGTTAACCTGGTAATGCTTACTGGTGAGCATGTGGTATTAGCCTACTTAATTGATAAGGAACTGAATTACGGGGTGGCAAATGCACTTGCTGAGACCCTCTCCGTAGCTGGTGGGTGACATAACATGGTCAGGACTCAAACTCACTTCTTTGCCCTCAAAGCCCATCTCTCACACCCATGGAGCTTATAAGGACAGCCTTAAAGTGGACAAAACATCATTAGGTAATCTAGTTATTCAAACAATAATTATGAGTCAAGTACTTCTTATGTGTCACCTATGTTACATGCAGGAGATTAAGCAGTGAGCAGGACAGCAGAGTTGTGTGTAAATATCTGTCTGTCTGTCATCTGTGTTGAGACAGATTCTTGCTATATAGCCCAGGCTGACTTTGAACTTGTAATTTTACCTCATCCTCCCCAAGTGCTGGGCTTACAAATGTATATCACTATGACTGGCTTCCAGAGCTTGAAATGGGCTTGGACAGTACTCACCTCAGCCTGCTACTTTTTAGAAGCTTAGGTGGGAAGGAAAAGCAAGCACTGTTGCTTTGAATATGCCTCCTTTGCCTTGGCAGTGGCTTTATATCTCTGACCCTGGTTTTCTGCTGTGGTGTAAAGCCAGTTTTCCCTTTTCATTTGTTCTTGGCCATCTCCTCCATACCATTGTAGTCACTAATAGTAAGATCAGTTAAAAGTGACCAGCTCATGACAAAGAAGTAAAAGGTAAAGAACCCAATTTAAACATGGGCAATGATGGCCAGGCACCAGAAGCACACTCCTGTAACCCTAGTTCCTCAGGAAGTAGAGATCTGAGGATAACAGTTCAATGTCAACCCAGGCAGAAAAAGACTATGACACTCTGATCTCCAATTCACCACCAAAAAGCTGAAAGGGGAACTGTGGTTCAAGTGGTAGAAGTCAGCTTTGAGCAAAAAAGCTCAGGGACAGTGGCTGGGAATGTGGTTTAGTGGTAGAATGTTTGCCTAGCATGTATTAAGCCTTGGGTTTGATTCCTCAGTACCTCAATAACAGAAAAAAGCCAGAAGTGGTGCTGGGGCTCAAGTGGTAGAGGGCTAACCTTGAGCAAAAGAAGCTCAGGGACAGTGCCCAGCCCCTGAGTTTAAGCCCCAAGACCATCACGAAAAGAGGGAAGAGGGAGCAGGAAAGATGCTCATAGTTCCTAAAGGTATCAGATAGCCCATAGCACAGTAAACATCTGTGAATGAGAGAAATGGCATAAGACTACATGGCATCCAATGGCATAAGATCACGCTTCTTGTACAACGACGGGGTTGTAATCAGTGACAGGTAGTAACCAGTGCTGACAGTGTGGGGCAGGGCTTGGAGCTCTCCTAAAGTGCTGACAGGATTGCAAAAGGCTGTGGGAAACTTGTTTTCAGTTTTTCAAAATATTATACATAGTAACCATATGACTGACTTTCCCTCCTGGTGTATAGATAGAAGCGAAATGAAAACATGTCCACACAGAAATGAACATGTCCATTCTCCTTGAGAAGTAGAAACCAGGATCTTTATGTAAAGGCTCTTAGTTATAAAACACAGCTTAAAAATCTTTAGAAA